TAGCAATAGAAAACAGAAAAGGCGGCAAGAGGATTAAAAGGATTCAGACCATGTGAGGTGATTTCCTTTTTCCATCCTCTGGACAGCCAAAAATACCTTTTTCATCCATCCTCCTCCCTAACTCAGAACCACTACAATAGAATATGATGTTGCTAACCAAGTTTTCACCTTCCTGTAGAAACTCTTCAAATGAGACTGCAGCTGGAACCAAGTACATAAATGGAACAAAGGATCCTAATAGAAACGGAGATTTAAAAGAGTTAGGTATCCAAATGCATTACAGTTGCTGCTGCTACTCCACCGACTTCTGCTGGCACACACACGGCAGTCGTTCTTCAAAGCTAACTTGCCAATAGAATGTCAAAACGCCTTGCCTAAACACAAGACTGACAAATTTGGGATCTTAAGTATGATGTCATGTCTTTAAATGATAAGCTGGCAAAGAAAATAAATGGCATTTTGTAAAGATGTGCACCGTTTTCATGTTTACGCTACTTAAGATGAAGGTTCTAATAAGTCCTCGGCTACGTTCCTTTAAAGGGAAGTTTTATAACTGAGATGAGTCACAACTGCAAAAGATCAAAGTTAAAAAACATCAATGATGCCATGGGGTACTTTTTAATCTTGTAATGAGTGATGATCATGTGCTCTTATGAAGTTAGTCCAACTGCCAACGCCAGATGTGTATATTAAGAAAAGAAGTTGTTTGTGAAGTGACAGCACCGGTTCAGCTGCCAGAGACAGAAAACATAGAAGGACGAACTCTTTCTGATTTCTGAGTGAAAAGCAAGTTTGGGGAGATGTGTTGATAAGCAGGGCCTCTGAAAAGGACTAAAGTGCCATAGCATACTCTCCTGGACTTTGCTGCAAACAAACTGTGTTTATCATCAATTCTGCACAGCTGTCCCCAGGGAGCATGAATACCTACTCAAGGCACAATTTATAACCCTTATTAGTGTCATTTGCTAATGAGCAGAAATTAGTAAAGCCATCAGCAAGGAAAAAAAATAACACACTAGAGAACGGAATCGAGATGATATCTATTTCCTGGAAACCTACTATAAGCAAAACGCTACAGCAAATTCTGACACTGGAGGAAACTGACGTAATAAGAGCTAATGCTTAATGAGCACTTACTACATGACAGTAACTGTGCCGTGCATTTTACATACGTTACATCATTTAACATCTTTGCAGCAACTGATGAGGAAGATACTATTATTATTATTCTCACTTTAACAGATGAGGAAACCGAGGCAAAGAGAAGTTCAGTAACTTGCCTACCATCACACAACTAGTAAATGGTGGAGCTGGGATTTCAATCCAGACAGTCTGACACCTAAGCCCACAGCCTTAATCACGATGCTATGCTGAATAAAAGACTCAACCAGTTAACCCAGAACTCGTCCTTGTTCAAACAGCTGATCTACCAGAAGTAGCCTTTCCAATATACTCTCTGATGTTTAGAAGAATGAGTGAAATTCTATTAACAGGAATCAATAGTCCAAAATCCTCAACTCCATCAAATCATTACAGTGATAAACAGATGTATACTATTTCCAGGACAACCACTATTTAAAGAATTATAATTTTGTGAGAGAGAGGGCTAAAAGAATTGCATTAATTTTTTCCTCCCCTCAAGAAAGTCTTTTTCTAAAGCCCTCTCTGTTAACGGTTGACAAAATAAGCCACTTGGAAATCTAGAGCAAGGGTTGGCAAACTATGACTTGTGTGCCAAGTCTAACCCACCAAAAACCCAGGGTTTTTGTAAATAAAGTTTTACTGAAACACAGCTGCAACCACTGATTTATGTATTGGCTAAGGCTGTTTTTGAGCTACAATGGCAGAGGTGAGTACTTGTGACAGAGATCACATGGCCCATAGAGTTGAAATTATCAACTCTCTGGCACTTCACAGAAAAAGCTTGCCAACCCACGTTCTAGAGGATTCTCCATTTAACAATATCTCTACAGCAATCAATCAAAATCCTATTATGCTCACACAATTGAAGAAAACAAAATCCTGGGCACTATCCACACATAGGGGTCTCAAAATTAAAGAATAATATTGAGAAGAGTGCTATTCTACAAATACTCAATGCCCAGGATGGCCAAGAGCAGGGCAGAAGGAAATAATCCAGTGCAGACAGTCCAGGTTATATCCAGACACTGAGTTTGGTTAAGTTACTTCATGATGTCAGAGAAATGACATCACGTTTTCACAGATATTTTTGGTTCACAAGAAATGTCACTCAGGCTGATCTAGGGCAGTGGTCTGCCACTTGAGATCTCTATCTGCTTCCCCCTCCCACCCGCAGCATCCTCAGCAGCACCCAAAGCCTGAACTCAGGTCACACACATACCGTCTCCCCCCTTTCCCCCTAACTCTCATTGCTTTCAAAGCCCTTCTCTGCTTTTAGGGCAGTGTGCCTATCAACTAATTGATTCTGCCAACAACCCCTTGGGAATCAGATAATGCTACCCTCCCTTGAAAGAGCGGTGACTTTCCCAAAGCTACCTCAGCTTTCGTCACATCTTTCAGAATGGGGCAGCACCCATCCTTTCCTGCTTCCTCTCCCAACCATCAACTTTTGAGCATCAACTCTTGAGTGGATGGACACATACACACACTTAGACACACAGACATGCACATACACGATCATGGTGTTTCCAAGAACTGAGAAAAGCAGCTGAGATCAGCAGGAAACATCTTTAAAAGATACTTATTAGTAGTGCTAAATGTTAAAAGACTACGATCCTGCCTTTTCAGTAACTCAAGGGTTAATTAGATAAAATGTTAGAAGGTGTCTTCCGTCACAAGGCATCATCTCTGATTGATGGTAGTCCAGAAAAGTCAGACAAAGCCCCGAACCAGGCAAGACAGCCCTGTTCTGTTCTGTTCATCTGCACTGCCTAACCACTGGCCCTTATGACCAGGGACTTGGGACAACCTGAGACACGTGCATGGCAACCACCTAATGGGACATTCTCAAACTGAACAGACAGGGACAGCACTGACCCAACACCGTGAACCTAGAAGAACACCATATACGTGAAAGGAGGAGAAAAGAAAAACCTCAAAGACTGGCTTCAGAGACAGGAAACCTCCCTAGTTCAGGCAAGCAATCAGCCTTTGTGAAAAGAGACAGCCACAAGAGGAACGGAAGGCACAGTGTGTTCCCACTGCTAAAAGACATGCTACTGGCGGAGAGGCAAAACTTTACCAGCCCTTTTCTCTCAGTTTTAAGGGAAGAAAAGACATGCCACTCTCACTGTCTAGGCAGGTGTATCGTTACATAACAAATATTTCTGCCAGCTGTACCTCCACCACAAACCAAATTAAACTCTCTAAACACAATGGCTGGGACTCCAATGTATTCACTCATCAAAGGCAGAGTTCTATGTGATGTTTCCACGGGCACAGAACTTTTAATGTTGTATATATCAAATAATCTTTAATCTCTAGATATGTTTAAATTGCTAAATACAATTTAAACTGCTTTAAATACATTTAAATTGCTATGCCAAGTTTGTTCAAATCAGTTTTGGGGGAGAAAGCAAACCTGTTTCAACTTAGATTTAGGAGGAAAATGCATATTATCCCAAATGGATTATGTGCACTACCTAAAAACTGATGCTGGTCAAACCTTCTGGATGTCCAGACAGACAAATAAACCAAGGTGGATTTAAACCCTGTTTGACTCTATCTGTTGAAAGAAACTACCTATAACAATTACTCGAGCATGACCAAACAACAGTGTTGTAACAATCAAGCAAGTTATCATTTGCAAATAAATTCTTTGTAATTAAGCAGTGTGCTCTTTATAAAGGGAACTGAGTGGGCGAGTTAAAAAGTTAAAACACATTCTTAGACCATGGGAAACGTACGCAAATGCTTTTTGACTAAGCTCTAGATTTTTCAGTTTACTGTTTTCTTCCTCAGCTCTCATGGGTCTGTTCTGCCCTGTCTATTGTGTACAGTGGATGAGCAGAATTTCTCAGCAAACAGTTACAATGACTGAATAATCATGCACTCGTTTCCCAAAGTTATGTAGGCCTTAGCAGTTTTGTGGCAAAGGTTAAAAGTGTAATTTGACTTTCTACTAACTGTGAAGTTCTACTAAATGTCGCTCATAAAAACAGGCAGATAGCAAACTTTGCAAAGAAGCTGTTTACATGAAAACAGGCTACCTTATCTGGGATACATTCCTCAGAGGGTCTCCACAAACTCTATTACCGTTTCCAATAGGAAGGCAAGTACTTACTTCTGGGTTCCCGGGGTCCATCCACTGTAACTTTAATAGCTCTGTGATAGGTGGCTACTTGGGGAGGATTTGTGAAGACAGTTATGGTCAAGGTGAAACTCTTGCCTGCAGATGTAAAAGGGGAAAATCCACAGTGAATATAAAAAGATAGTACTCATGATAATACAGCAGCATCGACGTCCAAATTGCGTTTAAGCATCTACGAGGAGGTGATGAAACAAAGCCAAGAGTCAGGACCCCTTATTCTAAATGAGAAACCCTCTGACGGCCACTTTGGGAAGTTACTAAACTCCCTGAGTGTTAAGATCATCATCTTCATTGCAGTGCTACACAAGCCTCCAATTCAAAAAAAAAAAAAAGCTGCTCAGTAGCAACAGTTGTAAGAAAAACAAAAATTCTGGTCCACTTGAGGAGGGTTCTCGTCCTTTCAGTTTTCTCCAACATCAGGAACACGTCCAAGCGCAGACAATTTTAGAAGTCTTTATTTAGGATTAGGTCATGACCCCATGAGAGAACAATAGTAAATCACTGTTGATTATGTTATTTATTTCACATGGCTTTAGCATTTCATTTCTTAACTGCACTACAATAAGAAGATGAAAGAGGAAGGTTCTTATGGGAATCATTTTAACAGGAGCCAGTGTCTCCTTTCCTGGCCTTAATGTGCCTGTGGTATGATGATTTCATCATTACTGGAACAAAGTTTTTCTCCTCCCTGCTCACCCCCCTTCCCTAACATACATCCTTGCTGTTAAACCTCGAAATAGCTCCCTGACAGTGACTTATTTTTTCCTAAATGTACATGACATCTCCCAATATAAATATGAATTTTTGCTTTTCACAGAAGGTGTGTTTCACCAAAATATTACATCTGATCTTTCAAATTAATGAGCTAAAGGTAATGAATAAAGGCGGGGGCGGGGGGGGGCTGGGAGAAGTCTGGTAGCAGATCAGGACGTCTGCTTGCTCCAGAAGACACCAGACGCTGTTACACAGGCTCACTGACAGTTGTAATCAGTTAGATTTGCAACGGTTAGTCATGTCAGATAGTCAGAACTGCAAACTGTTACAAGACAGGAAAAGGTGGGTGTGAAACAGTGACTCAATAAAACATTCAGCAATCTCAGGCCAGAGCATTCATTTAGCCTGCTCCTGTAACAGACCTTTAAAAAGCTCATTTTGTTTTGCTTTGTTTTTTGGTCAGAGACTGCCTTTCCCTTTACTGAAAGCTGAGGATATTAAATCAAAACACAAATCTTAAACAATATGTAGCGATGCAAAGTTTAATGCAATCTTTTCAAAGCTTAATATGGAACAGGTTATATACAAGGCTTAATGTAGAACAGGTCTTTGGCTGTCAAGTCTAGTGAATGGGTTTTCTTTTCAACTCAGACCATGTAAGTTCCTAAAATATGTTTAAGACACACATCATTTGTTACTCAGTATATATAGCTTTAAGTCTCTTTGGCTATGCTTATCCATGGCCAAGAGAAAAAAAAGGACAGTAAAGACAGGAAGGGGAGTGGGGCAGAGAAAGATGAATACTGATTAGAAACCTATTAAGTGCCAGCCGTTTGTACACATTATCTCATTTAATCCTACCCAGTTAGGTTTATCACTCCCATTTTACAAATGAGGAAATTGAAACCCAGAGAGGTTTAGTAACTTAACCACACAACTAATAAAAGGAAAAAAATCAGGATCTGAACTCAGTCAGGTATTCCAGACCCCAAAATTAATGCCCTTCTTTTTAACTTTGTCAGAGAACATTTAAAAAAATTAATAGGTAATTTATTTCAACACGTGTCCCAATCAGCTTTATAAGACTAAGAAACAGTAAATATAAATCTACTAACATAGTATCTGGGCCAGGATGACAAAAGCATCTATTCTTAAAGTGTCATTGATAAATCATATCTAATCCATTACATATTTAATGTTACATGGTTTTAAGTAATTTCATTGTCTGGTTAGGAAGCAGAGGACTTATTAGAAACATTAAGACTAACCAGAAAGATAAGGCAACCAGGAGTCTAAACTAGTTACAGAAAACTGAAAGTCTATAGAAATGGAGACTAGAAAGTTGAATAGGAAGCCACTGGATCCAGATCAGGACCTCAAAACAATGGAAAGATCTGAAGGAGTGAACGGGCTGAATCGCTAGACTGAAAGGTAATTTACATTAAACCATAAAGAGATGCCATTCTGGGCTGGATCAACGGTCCGGGAGCCAGGACTCCAAGGGCAGCGCGTGGACGGCAGCTGTCATCCAAGGCGCTAATCATAATACACGAAGGATGGAAATACCTCAGTGGTCCTTAATGACCTTAAATAACCTGGCAGAGATACTACCCATGAATTTATCTAAACTGCTTCTGAGAATATTTCTATTTTGAGACTTTTACACCTTACTTACGATATTAGAAGTCACCAATGCTTCTCCCCAATTAAGAGCAGCACCTCGTGTAGGAACGAAAGCCAAATGTAAAACTTACCTTATAAGCCTAAAGCATCTAAATACTCAAAGTGCAACCAGTTTTCTATAAAGGCTTCTTTTAAAAAGAGGTGGGTTTTGGGGGGAGGAAGCAAGTATTTAAGTATGAGTACAGTCTTCCAAAGTCAAACCCTAAGGATCAAGATGTACTTTAACAATGAAAACAAAAATCAAGGAGGTTCCTTCCACTTCTTACTGACCCTTCACAAGGAACAGGAAAATAATGTTCAAGAAACTTCCAGAAACTACCACCCAACTAGGTAATTGGTTCTTCATCTTATAAATAAGTATACATTTCCTAAGTCAAATATTTATGTGAATATTCATGATTTCCTTACATTAAAAAAAAACTTTTCCAAATCTCCTTGTTTATCACTTTCCGTAAGTGGTAAAAACGCAAGCTCCTACTTAAAAATGCAGGGTCTTACTTGGGGAGCAGGCACTCGTTAGACAACTAAGGGTGTCATCCTTGGCTTCATCCAGGACCTAGTTCTACAATCCGTCCTCAAGTCGTATATTTTCTGAGATAAACATAGGAACTGTCATTGAAAGACAATTCCAACTCAGCCTGAGGGAGTGTCAGGAATAGTCAGGAGGGGTAAGACTGTGAGCGGGGGTTGTATCCTAAACTGATAAAGTACCATGCTCTGTACACTGCAGGTGCTTAAAAACGCTTGTAAATTCAAAGCAGCAAGCTTGACGTCAAGAATGAGGAAGCACGGGAAGAAAACCTAAGGACCAAAGTCATTTTAAATACTTCTGTTTAAAATATAAAGGAGAAAAAGGGAAAAGACAATTAAAAAACATAAGCCACTCCTAACTTAATGCCAGTTTCACTGATGCCCTACTTTTACTCTAAAGCACTTCCAAAAGTCACAGTTGTCAGATGACCCATCATGCCAAAGTAAGTAGATTCCTTGCTAAATCTAAAACTGTTTCAATTTCTGAGAGTTTACATTTCTACCAGTGAAAAGAAAAGATGTAACATTTGAGGAACTTCGTGTTTTTTTAATTGTTTAATGCTACTGAAAATAGAAAATTGAAATAGCTGGGGGAAAAAACACAATGGCAGCAGCATGTTGATCCGAACTTAATAATTTAAGAGAAACGTAGAAGTGTGAAAATCAAAGAGGAAGCTGGAAAGAGTCTGTTAGAAAGCAGGTGAGGCACACAGGCAGGTTAAAGGGTTTCCTGCCACTGAAAAACTGATCCTTTTTTTTTTTTCCCAAAGAGTGATATCTATATCTCTTATTAATGTTCTCTGTCCTTTCTTCCTCTCCATTTCAGTTTGCTATTAATGTTTCCTTTCATATAATGTTAATGTAGTGCTATAAAAACCTATTATTAGTGATAAATCAATTTTTCTTTCTCTCTCCACCAGCTCCCCCCACCCCCAATCTAAGTCTCGAAGACAAGTCTGGACCAATTTCTCCATCCCGCCTCTGGCAGCAGACTGTAGCATTTCAGATCCTCCACCAAGTCCCGGCTGCTTCAAAGGAAAAATCCTACTTTCTTCAGTTAAGATCATAAGAAATATAGGGGGAGGGGGTCAGCTCTGTTTGGACATAATTACACTTCATCAAAAGAAGCTTTCTTCATCTTCCATGCGTGAAAAGTCTGCAAGCAGTTAAGTCTGTCTTTTTTTTTTTAAATATAAAAATTGCTATTTGGGAAACCAGCCAAAACTCAGAAAGCCAATATAGTAAAACAGTGCACACCCTTTGTTGCTCTTTGAAGTTTCTTAAATAAATATGTTGAGGGTTTACAAAGTACACTATCACTCTGCCATAGTTTCTACTCAAATTGATCAGAGAAAAATTATGCAGCATCTATATAATACAAAAGCAAGATGAATGAAAACCCTAGCTTCAATCTGTAAAGTATAGCACCCCATCTTTTAAATACTAAAAGTCATTACTCTAATTAAAAACAAAGTAATATTACATAAGAAGAAAGATACAATTCGGAGCATACAGGTAAATCATCACGTTCAAATTTTTTTCTTGATTCTCACTAGAAAAAAGAGACACTTTAATTGTGCTGCGGACCTGCACCAGTAACTGAGAAAAAAAAAAAAAGAATGAATATACACACATACATACTTCACACTTAATCAGTCAATGGTGAGGTAGGATGTGTCTTTTTTTCTCTTGATGAAAGTAAACTAAACCTGATGCAGAGATAACCCCTTTAGTTTTGATTCTACCAGAGGCTCTGAGCCTCATTTTATTTCAAACAACCGTTCAGTGACAGTATCTCATTAGCATGCAACATTTTTTTTTAAGTTAAAAAGTACAACTTCTTGGCCCTGTTCCTAGAAAGTAAACTAAAACGACTCATCGGAAACAGCCTTGCTTGAATTTCCCTTATCAAGTTTTTACAATGGTAATAATTTGACATCTGATCCAAACTAAGGAACAATTACTGGACATGGTTTAAAAATTGATGCTTCTCATTTCCTAGTTCAAACCTGAGTTGAATTAATTCCATAGGTCTTTATAATTTATTTCACCTCAGTCCTAAAGTGGTCTATTTTCTCTCTTCTTATCAAAATACTTAAAATGGAAATATTAGATGCAATAAATAAATAAATAAGCACAATACTTTTAATGAATGACTATTAAGTCTCTCCATAGAATAAGTAAATAAAAGCCAAAATATTGGTTTCCTTAGAGACTTCTTTTTAAAACATTAACCCCATTTAGGAAACAACTACAAAAACCCTAGAAGTGATTAGTTTCTATTTTATGATCTTTTTAAGGATTTCTAATATTTGAATATGGATTCAGATGGTGGAAACCCTTAAATAATGTGGAAATATTTACAGTCCTGGTCATTCATCTGCCTAGGCAACTCTATATAGTTATTCTAACATAAGTAACACACTATTCACTTATTCAAATGAAAAGCCTTCTGTAAAAAATCTATGACTTTTAAATAGATTCTCATTATAAGAGCAAATTAAATCACATGGAGGTAACATGTGATAAGTGAAGAGCATAATGCCAGCTGTCCTTGCTACACCTTAGAGCAAAACTGATATTATCAGGAAATGTATTCCTTTTTCTTTCCCCTTTGCCACCCAATCTACTCAGTTATTTGGCTGCTCATAACTCAGAACCTGAACCTCCACTATTCTCTCCACCTTATATGCTCACACCAGTGAAATTAGGAACTGGTTCTTCTGAAAACATTGTTTGAATTTTCAATATCATAAAACAAATGAAAAAGGCCTGAGTACTCAGAAAAACACTCAACTTCATCTGGACACATTTAAATAAAACCTCCAGTAATTCTGTTCAGTAGAAGCTGCTGATTTATACATGGACCAGGCTACATTTCATCAGCGGAGTCCAATGTGTTCATTTCATTATCAATACTGCATTAAAAATCAGAGACCTACCTCGTCCACTCCGGCCCACAAATCTCAGATCGTTGAACCTTGCCACTTGGTTTTTCATAACAGCAGAGGCATTTCGGAGCTCAGCAGAATAATTTTCATCGTTACCCGCCATGACAGTAACCACAGTCCCATCTGGTACCTCTCCGAGGGCTACCACCTACATAGAACAGGAAACACAGCAGCAATAATGGCACATCAGCAAAGCTTAAAAACCAAGAATATATTCTCATTGTAAATGGTGTGTCTTATCAGAACTTCGTGCTCTGGTCCAGTAATGGCAGACAGGAACAAGGCATCAGCACATGGGTGAGGATGCCACTTCAAACAGACCAATGTTGCAGGGTCCACCCATTTCAAAGGCAGGCAAAAGTTTCCTTCATTTGTTGTTGGATTCCTCACAGAATACATGTACATTTTTATTAAATCCCCATGTTAGGTTGTCCGAGAGAATTACGCCACAGAAAGAAGGCTGATGCCCCATCTGCAGATTGCATCGTACGTATGAAGGCACCGCCTGTCTGCAACCCGGAGTGCCCTGAGGTGTGGTCTCATCCAGATCACAGGCTAAAAAAAGAAAGTCTGGTCAGCTCTATGGGAGAACACGTTTAGGTGAAAATTTAGAGGTCCTGACTATATGGAAGCCTAAAGATGGTGTGGTATCCAGAGCTACATTTCCATCTCCTTACTTTTGGCTAGACATTCAGCTTTTAACCACACTGCGAAGAATTAGTGAATGCCCACTCTGCAGTGAGACCCGTGGGACATAGGAAGCCATCAAGAAGCTCAAACTTCAGGTGCAGAATAAAGATATGTAACAGCCCGACAAACTATCACTGACAAATGAGTGGTAGAGACAGAAAAGACACCAAACTCCTATTCTGTCTTGTCCCGTCTGCCATTTTGGAAGGACATGTTTGCCTCCTTAATCTGCAACACTTAACCTGCGGCAGATCAACTCAGTCAAGTAAGGATCCAGAATAATCAGTCTTTGAGGCTAATAAACATTTTGACTGCTGCAAGGCTAGGGATCATACTTTTAACCAGAGTCAGCTAACTTGCAAGCGGGGGCCTCTGATTAACGTGCAGCCTGGTAAGGGACTGTTGGTGCGGACCCTTCACGGTCATATGTAAAACACACCACTGTTAATCCATTCCCAAGACACTGCTCCATGATAATATCCTTTCTCTCAACTCACTTCCAGGATCCTGTATTCAGATGATTTCCATCTCTCCCTCCTTCAGCTTCCAGAGAGATGCCCTTTTGGTGACTAAGCAGTGGCTCCAGCTAGAGCAGCCCACTACTCTCTGGCAATAGCACCCATGTGTGCTTGCCTGTCTGGCAAACATCCCACTGAACCTTCCTCCACTCCTAGTGCTGCTCCCGCCTTTGTCAAGATTGCCCCATAAGGCAAACCCAAGCATTTGGTTCTATGCTCCCAGTACAATTTGCACATACTCTCATAAAAGCAGATTTCTTTTAGGGTGATAAAACATACACTAGACCTACACTTTAGGGCTGAATTTTCCCACCCATGAACCCTAGCCCAACGTTCCTCCACTATACTCTCTGTTCCAGCCAGGAAAACAACCAACCCAACAAAAAACTTGCCAGTATTTTTTTCATCCTTACTTTTCTCTTAGGCTGTTTCTCAATTCCATTCCTTCTTTAGCACTTTGTATTCAGTCTAAAATCCTAAAGATTTCCTTAAATTATAGAAGCCACTTCCACAGCATCCCACAGTACTCAAATGATCCTCCTTTCAATGTACATGTATTTATGATCTATCTACTGTTTTTGACACACTAGCCCAAAGCTACGAGACTCACTCCTTGGAGTCCAGATTATATTAGACTGGAAACGACATGAGGCAAGGGCCTCACCTGTCTTGTTCACTACCATATGCTCAGCTCCCAAAAGAGTGTCTGGCACACGCTAAGTGTTTGATAAATATTTTTGAAATAGGTAAATGAAGGAGCTCCGTAAAGAGCACCACTTCCCACAGCCAATGGTCTGTGAGGCTACCAGCTAAAACCCTAACAGAGAGAACCAGTTAAAGGTTAAGTCAGCATCCCGCGATAGCAGCCAGGAGCCTCTGTTCCAAAACTAGTTTTCTGACAGCTTTTTCTATCCCGGAGGAGAGGCAATCAGGCCGAATATCCTTTACCAGGGGCATATGGCTACTCTCCTCAATCTGAGAAGTCTCCCAGGTCACGGGTAATTTCCTTGAGAACATGACTTCCTCCCTGCATACTGAATCTAGTACCTCGAGTGGCTACAAAATATAGGCAATGCTGTCCTCTGGATGGAGGCAACGTGCTTTTCAATTTTTCGAATTCACACTGCCAAAAATGTGAACGTTTGAAAATACTGAAATAATTGACTATGTTTGCCAGTATTCATCCGAATGTTTGACATTTTTTACACTTAGCATATTGCGTTTTAACACCTGCTGTGTGGCTTTCTATGTCAAGGTAAATATGGAACCAGTAAGCGTGTTAATGAAGGCAGAAAAGTTGTAGTGTTTAGAAGAGAATGAATGCACCAAAAATCAAGAGCCCCCCGGCCCTTTTGCCCACCTCTGTTACATATCTGCTAAGCTCTCCCACAAGTAACTTCATCTCCAGGAACCACAGTTTTCCAACAGAAATTGGAAATAATTTTTTGAAAGTCTGTAAAATGTAGAAGATACTATCTAAGTATAGAGCGTAATTATAATGATGTACTTTTTGTAAGACGAGGAGGCTAACTTCTGTTCCAAATCCGCTGTGTGCTAAACATAGGCTTTTACTTAGAAGCATCCTTAAAGGGTTCAACTGAATATGCAATTCTTCACTTCATGTCCTGAGATGTTTTTTGGTGTTGTTGAGAGAGAAAGGATGACTGCTGATGGGTTTCACTCCAGCCTGGCTAAATTTCAGAAAAAAGTAAAGAAATCTGCCCCAATATAAAGATTTTCAAGAGCTCTGGGACATTATTATTTTACTGCATATTTTTAATATAATGGATTTTTTTTTTTTTTAGTTAGAAGAAAAGGAAAATTGATTCAATATGGGAAAATACGAAAGCAAAGATCCCTAAGAGTGAAATACATAAATCTATTTTTCTTTGCTTAAGCAGCATAATAATGGCCATATTAAATACTGGTATGTTTTACGGATTATATTTAATAACAAAACAAATAGGTAATCACAAATTGTGTGAGTCTTCTGTGAGGTTCTGAGCTGGGCCTGAAAAAATCATGCTAACTAACACGATGTAGTGACAACTTTTCCTGTTATGGCTGAACTCTATTTTAATCGCTAAATACATTGGTTTTTTTCTGCTACCAAATCAGATTCCTAATGTTTTACTGAGGAACAAAAGAGGGGAGGGAGTACCGTATTTGACTTTATATCAATCAGAAGTGTAATTATATGTTTGAGGGTTTTTTTTTAAAAAAAAGCAGATCTCTGAAGCTAAAGTTTCCCTTGGAGATTCTCAACTGTGTTTATCTAAAAGAAAACCAAAAGAATCAAGAAATTTTTACACATTTCATCTGTACCAAACCCAAGCAATGGAAAACATTTCAAGGGGTAGAGAGCAGTGAAAACTCGCTCTTTAACCATTTAGGACTAAGCACGCAGGAAAACTTGTTTCCATACTACCCGATATAAAAGTTCCATTCTCCAAAGAACAATTTGTGATGAAACCTTAACAATGACGTTTCTAGGTGTATGTAAAATAGAAAATTTGCAAACTCAAGAAACTTCATGAGAAAGAGGGAAGTCATTTTGCATCTTGATATTTCAGAACAGAGAAAGAAGTTCCTTTATTTAGTGCACCTCACGATAACTAGTATGTAAATCACATGATACGTAGCTTTTTCAAAATGAAGTAAAAGGATATTTAACTCTAGAAACACTATTGAAATTTTGTATGAGACTCCGTAGGATTAAATCTGTGAATTACTCTGAAAGAGGGGAATGGAGAATTAACTCAGACCCTTAAAATGGTTTCTGTGGTCTTATTATACGGAAATTAAAATTGCCTATGACATTTCCATGGACAGAAGTCTAGTCTTAACTAATCAATTACTCTCACAGACCAATATCATTTGGCACATTGGGCTTGCTGCAAAATTGATATATAATTATTTTTCAAGATAGAATCTGACCAAATCTTCCTTTGGAATAGAAAGAGAGGTAAGGAAGTAATTGCAAAAAGGAAAAGTTTTATGCCTATGGTAATTATTTAAAGATAACTTTAAATAAACTATCAAAAATTCCACAAATATTACAGCTAATTTTTAGAATTTAACCTAGAATTTAGGAAAACCCAATTGAATTGTAGAGAAAAAAAGTAAATACAATATAAAATATCACTTTATAATTTTTAAAATATATGTCAAAGAGAAATTTGATGGGAATTATTTTAAGCCAGGAATTTAGGTGCCATGCATCAAGCTGGGTTAGATCATCTAACAGTGGATATTTGGGAATTTTGAAAGAAAACAAATAGCAATGCCAAAGGGGAGAAAATAATAAAAGACATCTTACCATGCCTGTTTTCAAATAGAAGTTTTTAAAAATTTTTTTAAATATTTATTTTCCATCTAAAATTGTCTAGGTTACCTTACTAACAAATCTTATATATTCAATCCTAAAATTTTTAACTTTAAATAATTTTTACTGCATTTAAAGACATAACATAAAAATGTGTCTGCATTCACACAACCTGAAATCTATTACGATCTACGTAATTTGCATAACAATTCATAGTGGCCTAAATAACATTTTAACAAGTTTAATAATCTGTTTTCCTTTGTGTAGGTATAACTACACTCAAAAAGACACAGAGAAAATCCGACCCTTAAATATGTAAGGAAACTACAACCCACTAGTGTCAAGTATTTATTAGTTGCATACTTGTTTTTGAAGAGAAAAATGTCCAATGATGTTGAAAAAATTATTTTCAAAAAGGAATTGCTCCATCATTTTGAAACCCTACTTATGACAAATACTGAAAGGTATCATTAAACATACAGAATTAACTATGAGAAATAGATTATATATCTAAAAATGTGTTTTCTTTCTTTAACATTGCCAGAAAAACATATGATACTGGTAAATATGTAGTCCAGTGTTCTCTAACTTGAACCAGCACAACAGCCTTGCACTACTTTTAGTTTTAAAATATACATCTGGACTTAAAATTTCTGCATAGTGTTTCAGCATGGAGCTATTTAAAGCAACTGAGTTATGACCCCTGAACACAAGGCTTCGTGGTGGAAAGGCTGACAGACCCCTAACTGTAAGGGTGCTACTGGATGCACGGTTGACATGCTCCTCCACTATTTCTACCTGACCATTAACTATGGAGCTTAATTTGCAAACTGCTTTTTTGTCACTAGAATTATCTAGGACAGAAAAGGCCTAGGATCCTCGAATAGTATCCTTTAACTATTTTAAGCTTTCAGTGAGATACACCTGAAAGAAATGTTAAAAATATTTATTTCCATTTCCTTGACACCTGGGAGGACTGAACATTTCAAAACTGCAGAACTTTGTTAAAAATATAATGCTAATAAACAACTTTATCTATTTTAAAGTGCACTTGTTTTTACATTTTTATATGGTGAGTATAAACGAGTTAAGTACTCGTATAACCTCAAAACAAGATCAGATCTTTACTAATACATTACTTACATCTTAATACGACAGGGTGTCAACAAAATTTTGAAGCACTATTTTAAATTAACATATCAAAACACAATCTATTGAATTCATTTCTGATTCTCCACAGTGCCGAGCTCAGTGTCATAGACGTAAAATATGGGCTCAATAAATATTGTATTGAATACCAGACTATCCAAGAATTGAGTTCTCTGAGTGTGTTTTTCAATATATTTACCTATCTGCTATTTTCCAACAATACTATAATTTACATTGCACATAGCTCTAACTATGACAGCCAAATTGCTGTCATCACTTTTAAAACTGAGACCTCTTCATATTTTTTCTTCATGGCAGATGTATTTGATTATGTTGCAAAAGTGAAGAAAGTCTACTGCTCTCAGGCTTTTATCTTGAAAGTAAGGTAAAGAGGGGCTGATTTTACTAACGTTCAGATGAAAATAAAAACTGTTGTCAAAATCCGTATCTTCAAAATATCTACACCTCTTTCTCAGGAGAGACAAAGCTTCTATACTGAGTGGCTCTCAGCTATCATCGGCTATTTGAATTTTGTTAAACACAAGCATGCAGGGGCGAAAACACTGAGGCTCAAGTTTTAAGTTAACTCAATTTATTTTTCAATTAAAATATACAATTTTATATGTCCATGTGTTATCTATGGTTTTGTTTACTGTTTCAAAGTCAAATTACTCTGTAATTAACAAGTGTGACCAACAGCAAAGAAAGCAATTTGTTTTCAAAATCATTTTTAAAAGGTGGTAGTGAGAAAACCTAAAGACAACCAAAACATCTGAGAAACGCTCAAACTAAATTGCATTCTATCATTATGCCAAAAACATCCTTTCCATCCAAAATACTAATGCTCAACACCAGTTCAGCGGCATAAACCTAAGAGTTATACCTAAAATATGTTTACCAGAACACACGGAATGTAACCTATCAAACATCTAAACGGTATCTTTAAAAATGTAGGCACCTAGCCTTTTATTTTCACATATCCTGACCTGTGGCACTGCACAGACAAAACATCTACTTATTTGTATTATTTGCTGTTCTCATTCAGGTTTTTTGTTTGTGTTTTGAGGGGGCTTTTTGCGGGGGCGGGTTGGCGGAAACAAATTTCTGACATATGGCTAATTAGAAACTTCTAGGCCCATGGACGATGCACACTGTAAAAGTCATCTCTTGTATGGAAATTCAAATTTCTACAACGCACATACATTTTGAGTTTTTCCTATTTCAAGGAAGAAAACATAACCTACAAAACGGGTGGCTCACAAAAAGAGAAATGGGACGGTTAAACACACACACACATTTCTTAAGCCAACTGCAAAATGAAACTTGCCCCAGAAGGCAACATCCCCTTTCCATAACAATTCATCCTGATTTCTCCTCTGATATAAGACCTAGCGAGATAACCAGCTCTAATTGACTTGGACTCCTCTTTCCACCCCACCCACACACGGAATCTGAATCGGTGCGTGGGGGCCAGGGGGCCGATCAACAACTGGGAACTGCCAGTGGCCCGTGGGAGTTTGGCCCCAGGGTCCAGAAGGCAGGAACTGGCACAATTCCTCCCTCATTTTCCCCCTCCCCCAAGGCCTTGCTTACCCTGCTCTCCATAGACCCCAGAACCCCGGGGACCCAGGCCCACCTTCCCGAGTTCCGAGGCCAGACAGGGCCGGAAGCGCCTTTCGGAGCGCGCTCTGCTCCCTGTCTGGCTCACCGCCCCCTCCATCCCCGGCGTCCAGGCCAGCGAGGGAGGACAGCCCCGGAACCCGTTTCCCCATCAACCCACCGCGCGCTCGGCCCTGGGGGCTCCGCGTCTCCCCCTGGCGAGGGCTGCCCGGGGAAATCCGCATCGCATTTCGGAGACCCATCGGGCTCCGGCGAGAGGCTCGGGACCTTCCACCCTCAACCTGCCGCGCCGCTGCCTGCGATCCCGCTGCCGACACCCGCCCTCGAACTAACGGGCCGAGTGGGCGGAGGAGGCCGCGGGGCGCGCGGAGGGCGCTCTCACATCCCGGGGGTCACTCGCTCCGCGCCCAGGCTCCTGGCCCGAGCCTCCCACTACCCTTCAGAAGCAGGAGGGACGCCTGGGGTTTCAGTCCTCTAAAAGTCATCCTAAGACCAATCTGCACATTTCACCTCAGTTTCCAAGGCGGGCGAACTGAAGGCATTTCACAGGTTTCCTCATCCCTCCCGGGCGGGGCGCGGCGGGGAGCTGGGTCCGCGCTGGACCAGGCGGCCCGAGCCCCCGCCCCCTCCACTGGCCCGCGCCTCCCCGCGCTCGAGGGTCCGGCGCCCGGGACTCCGGGGCTCCCCCGCCTCGGGGCGCGTGCCGACCCCGGCGGCCCCGCCTTCCTCCGGTAACTGGAACTGGCGCGGGGCTGCAAGCCGCGCAAACGCCCCCGTCCTGTCTCCCCCTCATACTCCCCGAGTCCCCAGGTTCGCCCGGGACCCTCTTGGACACCGGTAACGCGGCCCACGCGCTGCAGCCGGCACCCGGCGCCCCGCCCCGGGCGCGAACGCCTGGCGCCGGCACCCCGCAAACACTGGCCCCCGAGCCCGGTCGGGCCGCTGAGGCTGAAGCGGGCCAGAGAAGGGGGCGTTGAGACGGGTGGTGGGGCGTTCGGCTGGGAGGGAGGAGGGTGGGAGCGCGCAGAATCCTGGCGGGGCGGCGCGGGCAGCCTGCGGTGCGGGGTCGCCGGGATGCCCGGAGAGAGGGGATGCCCCGGAGTCCGGGGGAGAATGCCGGGGATCCTCGCCCCTGGGGGGGTGGGGGCGGGGTGGAGTAAGTTGGGGTGGCGGCTCAAATAGTGGGCATCTGGGGGCTCTTGGGGGGAGGGGAGACGGCTCAGAGGAGTGGGTTAGAACGTTGGCCGGGAGGCTGGACGGGTGATGAACGGATAAAGGGGACAAGGGCTGCGGTGGTGGCTGCGGGTACAGGTGGGAGAGGGAAACATCTCTCTCCCAGGCTCACTGCGCCCTGAGCCCGCCGGGTGATCTCGAGAAAGAGGGCCAGCTGGGGGTCCCTCGGGTCAGAACCACCAAAGTAAGAGGCCGTCCGGGCCCCGGCGCCCGCGGGCAGGGAGACGCCGGCAGGCAGGTCCCGCGGCGCCCAGCCGGGGGCGGGGGGCGGCCGCAGCTGCTTACCTTGAAGGCCACGGGCAGGGTCTTGTTGCAGCGCCAGTGCGAGGGCAGCACGGAGCACAGGAAGTTGGGGCTGTCGGTGCGGACGAGCTCGGCCGGGTGGTCAGCGATGATCTCCACCATGGTGCGGTTGTCGTGCGGCGGCCGCAACCGGGGCACTGCGGCAGCCGCTGCCGCCGCCGCCGCCGCCGCCGCTGCCGCCGCCGCCTCTTGCTGCTGCTGTTGCTGCTGCTGCTGCTGTTGCTGCTGCTGTTGTTGCTGCTGCTGCTGCTGTTGTTGCGCAGCCACCACCGGGCTCACGTCGCTCATCTTGCCGGGCTGCAGGCTGCTGGAGGGGGGGCTGAAGCGCCGGCTGGTGCTCGGATCTACGGGAATACGCATCACAACAGCCACAAGTTAGCGAAGTGGCCGGGGGAGGGGGAGGAGGGTGGAAATGAGGGGCGAGGAGGAGGAAATTGGGGGGGGTGGAGGCGAGACGGGGGAAAGGGGATGGAGGTGATGGGGCTGAGGAGGTGAGAAATCAAGTTCGACGAAGCCGACTGCCGGGCGGAGTCTGACGGGGCCCAGCGGTGGCGGTGCGGTGCAGTTGGGTTGGCGGGTGGGGTGACCCGGGAGGCGCTGATCCTGCCGGAGCCTTTGGAACACCCGGGCTGGCAGCTGCGAACCGGCGCGGGGATGTATCTGGCCCGGAGAGGCGGGAGGCTTCAGTTTGCAGCTTGGAGTGGGGTCCCTTGGGGCACCACGTCCTGGGTGCGCTGGCGCCCCCTCTGAGTTCGAGTCCGGCGGCCGAGCGGAGTGAGTTCAGCAGTCCAGCCCCGGGGTCTGCATAGCCGCGCGCCGCCCGCCACCGCCGCGCCGCGCGCAGCTACCCAGCTGCAGGCGTCCGCGCCGCCGCCCGCCCGCGCCGCTGCCGCTGCCGCCGCCTCCTCCGCGGCGGCCGCCGCTCCCCCCGCGCCGGCTGCACACTCAGATTCCTGCCGCGGCGGCTGCCAACCCGGCTCCCGGGCTCGGCTCCTTCCTTTCCCTTCTCCTCTTCTTGCCCTCTCACCGCCACCTCCTTGCATCCACTCCCTCCTGTACTTGCAAAGCTCCCCTGACCCTCGCGCTTCGAGGTGCCAGGAGGTAAGTCGCGGGCAGCGGATCTCGGGGCAACGGATCTCGAGCCTGCGAATCGCAGCCGCTGCCGCCGCCCGCCGGCCGCGAGAAGGAGCCCCCCGGACGCCGCGCGCAGCTTCCGAAGCCGAGAGAGGCGGCCCGGGTGTAGGGGGAATCTCGCCTGGTCGCGTCCTCTTGCTCGTTCCCCCTCCCCCCCAGGACAAGGAACCCCCTCTCGGGCGGACGAGGTTGAAGCTGAGACGCTAGAGAGCCGCCGGCTGATCTGACTGTCGTTATTTTTCGTTGTAACTTCAGGAGAGGAGGAAGGAAAATTCTTGAGCGTCTGTGCTGACTTCTCAGCACTCTTCACCCTTCCCCCACCCCACCCCCACCCCTGCCGGAGCGGCTCCTGGGGAAAAAAAGATTTTTCAGGGTTTGGGTGCTTTTCTGTCTTAAATGACACAAAAAAATTGGGGTGGAGGGGACACTTGTCAAAATAGTTTTTAGAAACTCAAGTGAGTGGCTGGACACTTTTTTCTTCTATATTCAAACTTGTCGTTCCTAGAGAACAAGGATGAGTTTTCTTAATGACTGGAAAACTGTCAGCTTGGTGATTAAAATAAGTTGCAAAAACCTTCCTGGGGAAAAACCCCAGCAGTTTTCCATGAATTTGAATCTTTTATTAAGTCCATTCTGCATCTAAAACGAAGTCTAATGTCTTGACTTTCTTCCCCACCACTCCTGGGGGGGGGAGGGGGATTAAAAATACAAAATAAAATATTCAAAATGCTTCAAATGGGCTATTTATTTATGTATTTATTTCCCAATGTGGGTTAAAAAAGCGACTTTGGATCCCCCCAAAAAGTTGTGGTCGAAAGGATGAAGGAGCGCGGAAAAAAAGCGGCAGTTTTACCTAAAATGTGGTTTTTGGAGGCTGGGATTTCTAATGATTAGGTTTTTGTGGTTTATATAGACACGACTCTGGCTAAGGCGATCATTACGCTGATGAGAGTCAGAAGCACGTGGGTGTCTCCGACCAGCCTCAAACTCTGAGCCTTCAAAACAAATAAAACAATGTGCGGCGCCCGCAGAAGCCGGGAAATCCGCTTGAGGGTATTGCACCCCTAAGAAGGGGGCACAGGGCCGTTTCCACTCCATGTTGTGTACTGCTAAGTTCCTTGCTTACTGTCAAACTCCTTTAAACCTCCCAAAGCTTGAAAACGTGTTTGCAAAAAGAATCATCAGCTGCCAAAGTTTCAAAGGTTCCTAATAGGGTAGCTGACACAGTAATGTGATTTTATAAAATAAATGAAAAATTATAATGCCTCCCCCTAGGAGTATTAAGGAAGAAAGATAGTTGAGTCATCACTTATCGGCCCCTCATCTTATTTAAAACAATTGACGTACCCATTAATCGGTGTTTTTATTGCTTAGCGCGAACGCCTCTCTCGCCCTGGTAGCGACCTGCCACGACCCTCCCTCGGTTTTTAAAGCTCTGCTTCCACCGGCTGAGCCGGCGCTCGGGGGTCTGCGCCTTTGCGGGGGCCTGGAAGAGCTTCGAGACGTGCGGGGGCGGGGAGGGGGGGACGCAAAAGAGAAGACCTGATTCCTGTCACCGACTGGAGCCCATCTGAAGCGCAAGATGAACTTGGGGGGCTGCAGTTGCATGAGTTGGAGACCTGGATTGCCCTCTAAAGAGATGCGCCGGCGACTGAGGGGCTTCCAACAGCGGGAGCGGAGGTGGGGGACGAGGGCTAGGCGCGAGTAAGGATGGGGTTCAGGGGACACCGCTCTGTTCTTCCTCTTTGGGGCCTTATTTTTACCTTCCTTTTCTCTACTCACAGTTCCACTCCTCCCTCGTCCGTCTTTCCCTTTCCCACTTTTCTCTCCACTTTCTCGCCTCTCCCAAAAATCCCCCCACAGCCGCGAGCCTCCTCGCCGCGTCCCTCGCGCCTCCTCTGCTTTCCCACGGCCGCCTGCCACCCTCGGTGACGCATTCTGCATCACCCGCTGTGACACCCCCTCCTCAACCTGCTCCTCGCCCCCAGCCTACTGGCCTCCGAGCCCTGGCGCCGCCGGGGTACAGAAGCCCCTTATCCCGACGAACTTGGTGCGCCCGGAGGAACCAAGCTGTCTCCTGCGCGTGCGAGGTTTAATTATCTTTTCGGTCACAGGGGAGAGCTCTAACCCCGGGCACCGCCGCGCCGCCTGAACGCACAGGGGTCGAGTCTTCCCGAGCTGCACGCAGCCGCCCCGCCAAGGGAAGCCAGGCTTGCCCCTCCAAAAAACAAAGACGCCTCAACTGTACCCATTACTCTCCTAGCTTTTACACACCCGCTTCCAGGCACTCGGACACGCACTCTCGCACATCCACACCCTGACACTCGTAAATACGCATACACAACTCACACTCACATCTTTTATTTATTTATTTATTTGCCTTTTAGCAAGGCAGTTTTATTTTGGGCGCGTTGTACCACTGTCCGACAAAGATCTCTGACTTGTTTTGTTTTGGTTTTAAATGTGTGGGGGCTGCA